AGCCCTGCTTGCGGACCTGCGGCAGCCACTAGGCTCTTACAGTTTATCAGGAAGTTCAGCAAGGTGAAGGTGTTTGTTCCTTTCACTAACGCAAGGGATTCGGGTTTGTGATCCATCCGCACCTCATGCTTCTCCTTACGACTGCATTGGCTGGAGTCAAAGGAAAACCAGGAGGAAGTGAAAAGCATCAGTGCACCACAGGAAGAACCGGAGCAGTGCAATTCCGGAACTCTCCCACCCTGCCTCTGACCAATCAAGTCATTTGAACAAACCCCAAAAAACCCACGAAGCTTTACAATGATCTGGATTTGTTCTTCAAATACTAAGCAGCACCTTAAACCTCACTTCTGATTTCATTATTAAAGTCGTGAGATAAAAGCGTTTTCCAGGTTCAGTGTCTTACAGCTGGCAAGTTACGGTTACTGAATACCTATGAAGTTAGCAACTCCCACTTCTACTGTGAATTTGGCTTCAAAGAAAACATAAAAACATAAGCATTTGGAGTTTAGACCGGAAGTTTGCTTTTGAAGCGCATCCCCTGACCGTCCCCGCTCAGGGTGTGTTGCTGTGGGGCAGGCTCAGGAAGCTGAAAGGAGATTCCTCTTGGCCAAAAGCCAGCAGAAGCTGCCTGGGGCAGCGCAAGGGCAAAGGCAACCAGGGGAAAAGAGAGTTAATTGGTCCCTCTGAAACATGTACAGGTCCTCAGCAACAGCCGTTCTGGTCTACAGCCGTGTCCCTACGATGCCATGCTACTTCTATGTGTGAACCTAGCCTATATAAACATGCAGCCTTTTCTTTAAAAAAAAAAAAAAAAAAAATCTAATGAGGCTTTCCAGTAAACCTGTATGTGAGGTGACATGATCAGTTTGTGACCTAACAGATGGATCTTACAAAGCTACATTGACAATTCACAATGGCTTGTCCTTCAAGAAGAGGAGCATCTAGAAATACCTGTCATAAAGAAACTCAAAAAGACACGCAGAGTCTCGATACGAAGTAATGTGAGGATTAATGTTTGGAAATAAGTTCTCAAAAGCTCTTACAAAACTTAAATGTGTACCACAAAAAGATAGTATTCAGCAGGGTTTTCCAGTGTCATGATGCGCAAGGAAAGGATACAGTTTTATAGAAATAGCATCTGGTTTCTTAACCTTGTCTTGGACTCCCATCTCCTCAAGCCAAGAGAAGCTTTCATCATCATCATCATCGCTGGGAGCTGGTTCCCTAGGAAACACAGAATCAGTGTTAGGAAAGCAATACTTCCTCCTGAAGTTTTCCAAAGGGAATGCACAGGAGTCTGTAGACACCCATGAATTCCAGCGCTGTAGCAGATGTATTACATACCCTCCATCTTCCGTGCTGTTGCCCACTTCGAGGCTGCTGGCAACTTCCATTTCCAAATTCACTTCCGAGTTTTTCTGTTTCGGGGTTCTACTTTCTTCCACCAAAGGCAGAGAAAACTCTATGCCTTGAACGGGGGAGGAAAGCGAGCAATGAATGGTTTTGTAGCACAGCTAATGCACTTTTATCAGTTATTCGAATCCTAGTTGGGCTGGTTTCACCTTACCTTCATTTCTCATGGCTTCCCTTAAACCTCTAGTTGTGGGAGAAATTGCAGCTGTGATAACGTCACTTCCCGCAAGACCAGCCGCTCGGAACAGGACGGTAAACTGGTAGGTACATATATAGAAGTAGGGACACAGCTTGGCTTTGAGCAGGTTGTAGAGAGAAGTAAAGCTGACAGACCTGCAAATTAGAATCAAACAATTCTGTAGCTGAAGTTCATTCTTCACTGTTGACGTATCCAACGGGATTTCGCTGGGCGCTACCGATGCGCACCCTGCGCCGGTTTGAGAGCACGCTGAACGACTGGTCAGGTTTTCAGACGCGCTCAGCATCGAGCAAGCTGCGCTCCTCTGAAACGCAGCCTGTGGGAGAGCGCCGCGCTCTTCC